ATTAATGTCACACCTCCACCGATGAGCAGTGGGCCTACCTACTTCTGGTTTTGAACACTGCTAAAACATAGGAGCATCTTCAGTGTCTTTTGCAAGTCTCAGACCACTCTGGACTTCATCCTCCATAGCTCTCCTGAAGGGGAGTCATAGGAATCTGCACTTTCTCTTTCTACTGCTTTTATTCCTCTTTCAAAACCTGAGCTTCTGAGGGAGTTCCCAGTGCAGCTGCACTTGGAAAAGGTGACTACCTTATATTTTCTTTTGGAACTTTAGTAGCTAAGTTTTCTTAGGGCACTATGAGACCCCAGGAGGGCATATTATAATGTACCATGGTATATTATGGGAGCATAGAGGATTCAGTACTTTATTGTTTTGTGTTTTTGTTTTTAAACAGAGAGAGAAGAAAAAAGCAATATATTTGTCTTACCTCATCAAGATCTTTGGTCTCTCTGCCCAATTCATCATCATCTTCATCAGAATCTAGCTCTGGTCCAATATAATTCCCAAACTCATCATACAAGTCAGTATCCATGATGCTAAAATTCAAGAAGAGGAGTTAGATTCAGACAAGGTAATCAAGGCCTCCACAACATGGCCCCACATGCAAATTTATAAACTTTATATGTCAAAGCTTATAGTTGACCATATCCCTTCACACATTTCCTTTCCAATTACACCAACTCATTGTCTGTTTACATACTCTTCTTCTTTTAATACTAATTTAAAAAAATAACTTAATACCAGAAGGCTTCAAAACTAGTATAAATAACTTTATTTTTCTTGAATTATCTGAGAACTAGAGGCCTGGTGCATGGGATTCGTGCACTGGTGGGGGCGTGGCCTGTGGGAATCCACCTGCTATGGGAGTGCGGCTCCTCCCGGTCAGCTGAGGTCTGTGGACCCACCCTCTGAGCGGCTGCTCCTGCAGTGGGAGCGCCACTCATCCCGGTCAGCCCAGTGGCGCTCCCATTGTGCGAGCGCACTGATTACAAGGGGGCAGCTCCTGTGTTGAGCGTCTGCCCCCTGGTGATCAGTGCACGTCATAGTGACTGGTTGACCAGTCGTTCTGTGGTTAGGTCGTTGAGCTTTTATTATATAGGATAGGATAAGTTGCTGACACAATGCCTCATCACCCCTTAAAGGTTTACTGTAGGAGTTGACACATTATGGCCTGTGGCCAAATCTGGCCTGTTGCCTGATTTTATAAAGCCTCAAACTAAGAATTTTACATTTTTTTAAAAAAAATATATTTCTTTATTGATTTCAGAGAGGAAGGGAGAAGGAGAGAGAGATAGAAACATCAATGATGAGAAAGAATCATTGATCGGCTGCCTCCTGCACACCCCCTCCTGGGGACTGAGCCCGCAACCCAGGCATGTGCCCTTGGCTGGAATCGAACCTGGGACCCTTCAGTCCACAGGCTGACGCTCTATCCACTGAGCGAAGCCAGCTAGGGCAAGAATTTTACATTTTTAAATAGTTGAAAAATCAAAAGAATAATATTTCATGATATGTGAAAATTAATGAAATTCAAATTTCAATGCCTATAAAAACAGCTTTATTGGAACACAGCCATGCGCAATCATTTATATTGTCTATAGCCGCTTTCACACTGTAACAGCAGAGCTAAGTAGCTGCAACTGAGCCCATATGGCCCAGAAAGCCTAAAATATTTACTATAGAAAAGGTTTGCCAACGACTGCTGTCGTGTGTGTGATTCCTACAAACAGGAACATTCCCTGGCGGTTTGAGTGTCAGCCCTTGCACTGAAGGGTCTCAGGTTCGATTCCAGGTCAAGGGCATGCACCTTGGTTGCAGGTTCAATCCCCATGCGGGAAGCAACCAATCAAGTATCTCTCTCACATCAATGTTTCTCTCTCTCTTTTCCCCCTTCCCTCTCTTCCTTCCACTGTTCTAAAGATCAATGGAAAAAATATCCCCAAGTGAGAATAAACAAAAACAGAACAAAACAAATACAACCATCAAAATCAGACACATTATTATCACCTAATTCACAGACCCTCAAACGTTCACAAACTGTTCTAACAATGTCCTGCACAGCAAAGGATCCAACCTAGGATTGCATGTTTGCATTTAGCAGTCATGCCTTTCGTCTTGCTCTGGAACAGTTCCTGTCTTTCTCTGACTTTTATGACTTAACACTTTTGAAGATTACAGGCTAGTAAGTTTGTGGAATGTCCCTTAACTTGGGTTTGCCTGATGTTTCCTAATGATTAGATTAAGGTTATGCATTTCTAGCAGGGACATCACAGATGTAATGCTGTGTGTGTTTTTTTTTAAGATACGTTTTTATTGACTTCAGAAAGGAAGGGAGAGGGAGAGAGATAGAAACATCAATGATGAGAGATTCATTGATTGGCTGCCTCCTGCACACCCCCTACTGGGGATTGAGCCCGCAACCCAGGCATGTGCCCTTGACCGGAATCAAATCGGGACCCTTCAGTCTGCAGGCCGATGCTCTATCCACTCTGCAAAACCGGCTAGGGTGATGCTGTGTTCTTTTTAGTGCATCTCCTATCAGGTGGTATCGGATTTTAATTTGTCCCATTAATTGTGAAGTTACTGTAATCACTTGATTACAGTGGTGTCTGACAGGCTTTTCTATTGTAAAGTTACTTGTTTTCTCTTTTTAATTAATACGTAGCTTGTGGTTTTCTCTACTTCAATTACTGAAATTCTATTCAAAGTACAGTTCAAATGCCGCCCCTTTCAAGCTTTTCTGGATCCTCAATTTCTCACTCCCCTATGCTGCTATCGTCTTCTGCAGCTTTACCAGTATTTAATTGTTTTGCATGGCAGTTAACTATACTGATTACCCTCACCAACAACTCTATAGCTTACAAGTCATAAATAGATCAGAACATGGGTTAAGGGCTTGGGCTCTGGAATTGGAAGACTTGGATGTGAGTCCTAACTTTGTCACTTAATAACTATGTAACTTCAGGTAAGCTACTTCAACTCTCTAAACCTGTTTCCTTAACTGGAAAATGGAGTGCATAATTTCCATTGCATGAATTTATCAGCGTCCCAGACGCAATAAATGTTAGTCAGCATTATTTTTTGGCTATTTTAAAAAATATATTTTTATTGATTTCAGAGAGGAAGGGAGAGGGAAAGAGAGATAGAAACATCAGTGATGATAGGGGATCACTGACTGGCTGCTTCCTGCACGCCCCACAATGGGGACCAGGCATATGCCCTGACTGGGAATCGAATCATGACCTCCTGGTTCATAGGTTGACACTCAACCACTGAGCCACGGAAGCTGGGCTGCTATTCTTTTTAAGAAATTTATCTTTATTGTTAAAAGTATTACAGATGGCCCCCTTTTTCCCCATTGACCCCCTAACCCTCTCAATTTTTTTGCTTTCTTAAAAATATATTTTTAATTGATTTCAGAAAGGAAGGGAGAGGGAGAGATAGAAACATCAATGATGTGAGAGAAGCATTGACCAGCTGCCTCCTGCACACCCCTTACTGGAGATCGAGCCCACAACCCGGGCATGTGCCCTGATTAGGAATTGAACCGTGACCTCCGGGTTCATAGGTTGACACTCAACCATTGAGCCATGCTGGCCGGGCATTTTTGGCTATTCTTAAATCCAGGAACCCTGTGTTCTTTGCGCCTACCTGACAATGCCTAAGTAGGCACTGTTAAATATTAAGTAAATGGAATGTTAAATTTTGAGATACTGTTATTTCTTGCAATAGGTTAATCCCTAATGCAACCTGTTGAGAGTGTTGATTGTAGACAAAATAGAGAAGAGCCCCAAGGACCAGTAACTAATATAAACTATTACAATAACTTTAAATATGCATAGAGATTCTTTACACTTCCAAAGAGCTATCACATCTATGCCAATTTCATTCTCCCAAAACCATGAAGTTACAGCAGAAATGTTTATATAAAGACATTCACGGGACAAACCAAGCTAATTTCTACTTCAAGGCCATGGTACTGGCTATCCTCCTCTGAAATGCTCTTCCTTTGGATATTTATACCTTGCTCCTTCATTTCACTCAGGTCTCTATGAAAATGTCACGTTTTCTGCGAAACCTTCAATTGCCACTCTATAAAAGTCCTCCATACACACTGTTTTATTCTTATTAACACTTACCACTAGCTGAAATCTATTTATACATGCGTTTACTGTCATCTCCCCAACCACAATTGAAGCGAGGACTCCATTTCACTTAGTGCCTGGCACAATACAGGGCCTCAATAAGTATTTGCTGAATGAACGAATGAATGAATGACTCCAACAAGGCACAGAGAAGATAGCTGGCTTGCCTACAGTTGCACAAAACTGGTAACTTCAGGCATCAAACCTCACTGCAGCTTCCCGCTATAACGCAGGCTCGCAAAGGAACACGGAATAAGCACGGAGCGAGTTTGGCACAGGAGTGAAGATGGCACAGATCGAGCCGGAGAGGGGGCTGAACAGTGAGAGAATGACTCCTGCCTAGGGAAGGGGGCGCTTTCATTCCTTTCCCGTTCCACACCCCAATTTACCCATCTGTAAAATAAAAGAGGCGATAGCATATAAACTCCCTCCCAGATCTGACAACAGTCTCCTTTCCCACCCGGAGCAACTCTCCCACCCCGTGGCGCGTCAACTCACCTCCCTCCGGCTCAGCCAAAGCCTCCGAGCAGCCCGACGGAGCCCGCGCTTCCGGCCCACGCCGCGCCGCTGCCTGCGCCTGCTGCCCCGAAGGACCCCGCAGACGCCGCGGTCGCGTTTCTGCCGCGGACAGCCCTCTGCCTGAGCACTAGCTCGGAGGAATGGCGTCCGCGGACACAGGAACGGGAGAGCTGGAGCTGCAGGCCCCCAAACTGAGGCGTGGGCTACTCTAAACAGAGTGGGGCCTGAAGGGGCCTGAATCTGATCAGGCGCGTCGGGACCACACTGAAAGGGGGCCTTCGAGCCGATCACGTGGGCAGGCTGTGGGAGCAGTTGCTAGGCAACCACAGCGGCTGTGCCGGGTCTGCACTGAGCTGTTCTGTTGCGGAGTATCTGAGCGTCCCCAGAGAAAGCAAGGGAACCAAGGCCAGGGCTGCTGGGGTGACAGTCAGGGGAGCAATAGGGTTAGTTCTGTTTATTCACCGACCGGGTAGGGCTCAGAACTGGACAGGAGCCAGAACATCTGAGTTCAATTCCTGGCCAGCCCAGCCCCCTTCTTGGTTGGGGTGAAGAGGGAGGGCTCTAGGCTTGGTTGCAGACATTCCGCTACCCTGCCCTAGGGCTGTTGATGATGACTCAGGCATAACATCTTGCTCAAAGCACCAGGAATCTGAGGCTCAAAGAGGTCTCACAACAGGTAAAAGCAAGCGCCAAAACTAGAACCCATATAGGTGATCTCCCTGTAGAACAGGCCAATCGGCCTCCTACATGGAGGCTACAGAAGTACAGAGGCAGAACTAAATAGGTCTCCTCAGTACCTAGTCCTCCAGCCCTGGGCTGGACCGAGGAATTTGGGACAGGGATCATATAAGCCCCTTCTACTTGATTTCCTGCTCAGTCATTGTATTTGGTTTGGGTGAAAAGTATTCTTTCTCATTAAAGACATTTAATGATGGATGAAAATTTATCCCTGGGCTCAAGAGTAGCTAACCATAGTTCTGCTTTTGTGTGAGGTTCTCCTCAATCCCAGCAACTCGCTATGTGGAAGAGTGAAGGGACTGAATTCTGAGATCCATACACTTCCTCACTGAAAGCGCCAATTCTTAGAGGCAGAATACGAAATTAAGGTACAGCTCCACACTGAAAGTCAGTCTCTTTTCAGTGACAACAAATCTTAAGCACGCCCTCACTGTGTAACTCTATAAAGTAGAGAACTAGATTTTGTAAACCCTTCAATATAAGTGACAAGATGTCCGGAGTGCTTTTGGGTCATTTTGTGGGCCAGCGAAGAATCCACGTTCCTTCCCCTGTTACTGACCTTCCAGTGATGTCCATTCTCTGTTCCTTCCCAGGCACAGGCCATGGAAAGGAATGACATCATTGACTTCAAAGCTTTGGAGAAAGAGTTGCAGGCTGCCGTTACTGCTGATGAGAAGTACCAGAGGGAGAATGCTGCCAAGTTTCGGGCCGTGGAGCAGAGGGTGGCTTCCTATGAGGAGTTCAGGTTGGCTCAATGTCATTTTTCTCAGGTCCCCCTGGAATGGTGGACTGTAGTGGATTAAGAGCATGTGCTTTGGAGTCAGACAATTCTGGGCTTAGTCCTGGTCCTGTCCTCTGCTACCTGTGTCCTCTTATGCAAGTTATTTAACCTCTGTGAGCCTCTATTCCTCATCCGTAAGAGAGAATAACCATTACTATGATCACACGAGTTATTACCTGTAAGATTTTTGAGGAGAATGTCTGGGACATGGGAAGTACCTAAAAGCTGTCAGCTATTGCTGCTGCTGCTGTTATTGTTACTGTTGTCAGATTGACCTGCCAACAGGTTCAGCCTCTATCATGCAAAGTCCAGCCACCTCACACCCACAGACATCATCAGGTCTATCCCTTCATCTCTGCCCTTTGCCTGCAGGGGTATTGTCCTTGCATCGCATCTCAAGCCACTGGAGCGGAAGGACAAGATAGGAGGAAAGAGGACTGTGCCCTGGAACTGTCACACTACTCCAAGAAGGACCTCTCAGGACGAAACCACTGAGATCTCCCCGGTAGGTGAGGCCCAGCAGGCTTCTCTGCCGTAAAGCTCCAGTCCTGTCTTCTTACAACACATACCTTCTCCTTGTTTCTCCTGTTAACCCAACAGAGGCAGGCTTCTGCCTCTGATCCCAGAAAGAACAACCATCGGATGGTGAGGGGAGTTAAATTGGGCAGAACAAATCAGAAAGTTGAGCTAGGCAGGTCTCTGTCCTTTAACCTGCATTCACAGGTCAGGTTGGGGTCGCTCTGGGTTATACGGTGTACAGCAGGGGTCCTCAAACTTTTTAAACAGGGGGCCAGTTCACTGTCCCTCAGACCGTTGGAGGGCCGGACTATAGTTTAAAAAAAAAAACTATGAACAAATTCCTATGCACACTGCACATATCTTATTTTGAAGTAAAAAAACGAAACGGGAACAAATACAATATTTGTATTTGCATGTGGCCCGCGGGCCGTAGTTTGAGGACCCCTGGTGTATAGTATAACAATCCTATGGCAGTGTTGGCAGGGAGACCTAGCCTGACAGATCCTTAACACTCCCCTTGAGTTCTTTCTCTCTTCCTGAGGTTTTCAGTCGTCCCCTCTGCTCTGCTCAGAGTGAAAACCCCTACTCTCACATTCCTCAGTAGGAATATCCTGGTACAACTGAGAATCTCAAACCAGGCCTGGGTTCTTTGAGACCCTCCCTCGTCTGAAAAGGCGGCCGCCGTGGACCACAGGCTTTCCAGTGCTCAGAGAGCAATAGCAGAGTTCAGCTGAGAACCCAGAGGCTTCCCTCACTCTCACTGTCATAGAGCAGCTGGAAAAGCTCTGGGTTCCCTTTTCTGCTTTTGCCATCCAGGAGAAAACACTCCTGCAGCCCGCGACCTCAGCAGAGTTCTACCGTGATTGGCGGCGATACTTGCGGCGTGGGCCAGAGCGCTACCAGGCCCTGCTGCAGCTCGGAGGTCCCAAGCTGGGCCACCTCTTCCAGACGGACGTGGGGTTCGGACTCCTGGGGGAGCTGCTGATGGCACTGGCTGATCATGTGAGGCCGGCTGACCGGCTGGTGGTGCTGGGGATCTTGCGCGGCCTGGCCAGTACCGGGCGCTTTGCCCTGAACCTGAGCCTGATGAGCCACGCAGAGAGAGAGAGCTGCAGAAGCTTGTTTCAGAAGCTGCAGGCCATGGGCACCCCTAGACCCACGAAGGAGGGGCTCAGCCAGGAGGAGCAGGGTCTGGAGGAGCAGCCTGGTGGGCTCCAGGAGGAGGAAAGTCTCCTACAAGAACTGCTAGGGTTGTACCAAGTGGATTGATGGGGCCATTATCTTCCGAGGCCCCCAGAGGTCACTGGCAGCATGTTTTGGCTACCTTGGGGGCTCCGCAGAATTGTATTAAGAAGCCCATACCGACTTCCCTTCTCAACTTGAAATCTTCAGAGCAAAAGCTAGCATCTAATCTTCCCCTCTTCTCCAGCCCCTCTGTGGCCTGATATTCTGAACTGTGTAGATCCACAGGATGGTCAAGGGCCCAGAAAGTTAAAAGAGCTTTCCTTCCCACCCTCAGAGTCTGTCACAGCTGTGGCCCACCAAATGCTGGCTACACTCGTAAGGCCTCTACCCAAAAAAGGGAAGAAGGAAAATCATTAATCTTCAGTAATAAACCAATACTGATCTCCATAGCTTTTAACAAGAATATTCATAACGTAAAACCAATGAATGGGCATTTGATCAGCAAATGGTCAAATGCTACCTCATTTGAGATGTATTTTTCCCCAGGGGCTGAGGTCCTGTGCAGGTTGCTTCTGGGAAAGCCCCAAGCCATCAGTTTAGGTCTGGCCAACCTCCCAGGCTTCTTCTGATGGCCAGATGTGAAGGCGGTGGGTTTCCTTCAACTCCTGGATTAACCAGAGGGAACACCTTTCCACCAGTCACCAGGGCAAGGCCTGGAGCAGGGAGGCTGAGATTTCCCTGTCTGGCTCCTAGCCTTGCTTCTCATTCCAGTTTCTCCTGACCCATTCTTGGGTGAGGGCCAGTGTTCTAGAAAGGGGAGAGAGGGCCAGGTTCTAGAATGGTTCTTCCTCGAGATCACATTGGAAGGGCATCTGGCCACATGAGAAGGGCCTCCTGTACACCGGCTGGGAATAAATGGCCTTGCCTTTGGCCGCTTCCCCTGCAGATGGTTGCTGCTTTTCTTGGCTGCTTTATCCTTTCCTCCAGCGGTGAATTCTAGCAGCCTCATAGGCCTGTGGTGCCCTGGTTTCCCCCCTCCGACCCGACCCTCCTTCAGGCATGAACCTGCCCCACATCATTGTGCTCCTGTGGGCAGGGGGGAGTCTCCGGGCCTTTGAAATCGTGGAGAAGGAGAACATTTTTCAGAGGACCCCCTGCCCTGCTTTCCTGATGTTCGATAATGCAGCCTACCTGGCCGACATGAGCTTCGAGCTGCCCTGCCACTGTAAGCCCGAGGAGGTGTCTGCTGTGGTCTGGTACTATCAGGAGCGCCTTGGTAGCAGCCGCACCAAAGTGCTGACGGACTTCGATGGGCAGATGCTGACGGCGGCATCCCAGGTACGGGTGGGCAGTGACCTGCTGGTTCGCTTCAGCATCCGCATGTTCAGCCTGGTGGTCTTCCGGGCCCAGCCTGAGGACTCGGGCTTGTATTTCTGTGGCACCCGCAAGGGGGACTACTTCTATGCCTACGATGTGGACATCCAGAGCAGCGAGGGGATGGTGGCCACCTTCAAGGACCTGGGCCAGGAGCCCTTTGCAGACGACTACCATGGGAGCCTCCACGTCTTCACCACCTTCTGGGAGTGGACCCCCTGTGACCGCTGCGGGGTCCGCGGGGAGCAGTGGCGCATTGGCCTCTGCTATCTGCAGAGCCCAGACCTCTCCCCACGCTACCGCAAGACAGTGCCGGACGTGGTGTCCTGTGGTTCACGGGCTGTGCCCAGGAAGCTTCAGGCCAAGGTCAGGGACCACACACCCGAGCTGCTGGTCCAAAGCTGCCTGGTGCCCTGCAAGAATACAACAAAGATCCGGGGAAGGCTGATGGCCATTTTAAACTATGTGTCCAAAGTGGGCAGACGGCCCTGGCTGCCCCAGGTGCCCATCCAGTACCACCAGCAGAGGCTGAGTCATGGGCTCATCATCTCCTGTCCCGGGGCCCGGCCAGAGCACGCTGTGGCCTGGGACAAGGACCGCCAGCACTTGTACCGCACGCAGTACTTGCAGGGCACCAATAGGTCCATGAGGGTCTTCATCGACCATGGCAACCATCTCCACATCCGCTTCACTCAGCTGGACGACAGGGGCATCTACTATTGCTGGCGGCAGGGCGAGCGGGTCGCTGGGTTCCGACTGGGCGTGGCATCTCAAGGGCGCTACAAGGTCTCACTCTCGGACCCCGAGGTCCGCTCTGCTTTGGAACTCACCCTGATAGGGTACCTGCTCCTCACCGCAGTCTTCGTCACCATCCACCTTTGTCGCTGCTGCTGCTACGTGTTTCGCTGTTATCCCAGCTTCTCTCGCTAGGTTCTCTCTCCACCCTCTCCGAAGACCAGCTGTGCTCAAATGTGTTAAATGATTCCAGGTGCTTCTGCGTGGGCATCCTGGGCTGGGACGTGTGGCAAGGGAGTGCGAACAAGTTTGTGAGTGACACCCTGCTCCCTGTTTTCATGGGCACGTCTGGGGCCTGGTCTGGGAAGTGGAGAAGCCTGAGGCAGGTGGGACATGGGACAGAGGCTGTGATGCAAGTAGCCAAGGTGCACATGTCTTCTGACTTCATCAGGTGAGAGGAGGAGGAAGGGAACCTCATATTTATTAAATGGCCTATTCAGTATCGAGCAGTGTTTGAGGTGCTTTCTTTTCTTGCCTTTGAGGACTGCCAAGTGGGTGCTGGTTAAATCGGGGGTATCATGGAGAGGAAGGAAGAAAAGAGTGGGGGAGCCACGTATATGTCCTCTCTGCCTTCCTCCCAGCCTTGTCCTGGGACCGGCTGGTAGAAATGGCAGGTCTGGAAATAAAGGTAAAGACTAGGACAGGGGAAATGGATGAGGAAAATGGAGGTCAAATTCAGGGCTTTCCTGAGAGACTGCACCCATGCTGGAGACTGGGGGTGAGAAGAGGAGCTGGGAGCAAAGGGGGGGGGGTTGTGGGGGGCACCAGGACTGCTCTGGCAGAGCAGGGTTGGAGGTGGGACTTGTCATGTGGCTGCTGCTATGGGGGGTGTTGAGCTCTGGAGAGGGTCAGTGACAAGAAGCACGCTGGGTCTTGTGCAAGGTTACTTGCTGCTCCCTTCCCCGGGCGCCAGCTTCTCCTGAACAGATCAGAGTCCACTCAGAGGGCGGCCACAGCAGTTGGCTTTATTTACCTCAGTGACTAAAGGCATCGGTGGGTGGCAGGAGGGAGTCAGAGAAAGGGCACCAAGTCTTGGAAAGAGATTCCCATCTCTCCCTCCCATTAGTCTTAGCAGTGGTTCTCAACCTTCTGGCCCTTTAAATACAGTTCCTCACGTTGTGACCCAGCCATAAAATTATTTTCGTTGCTACGTCATAACTGTCATGTTGCTACCGTTATGAATCCTAATGTAAATATCTGATATGCAGGATGGTCTTAGGCGACCCCTGTGAAAGGGTCGTTCGACTGCCAAACGGGTCGCGACCCACAGGTTGAGAACCGCTGCCTTAGAGGGAAGAGGGGGCCCCTGGGGTGGGTCCTCTCAGCCTCATTTCTGGGCACAGATAATCCCACGCTCCCCACAATCCTCCTGCGGAAAGCAGAGTAGATGCTCCGGGTGGACGTGTGTGCTCCCTCTCCAGGCCGCAGGGACCCAAACCAGGGTCTTCACTCTGCTTGTGCCTCCATTTCCTGAATTATAAAAGAGAGTGCTACCTAGACTACTGGGTGCATCTTGCATTTGAGTAAGAGGGGACCACAGGGCCCGTAGTTTAGGGAAAAGCATCAGGTCACTATGGGGCACAGACAGGCAGATGGATGGCGTTGGCTTCACCCAGCGGTATCTGCTGGGTTGGGAGGCAGCAGCTGCAGGGGCTCAGAGGCTTTGGGTGGACAGGGATTCTGCAGCAAGGAAGGGGCCTTTAGACCTGAACAAAGGGTGCCCTGCCCCTGTGGACGGCAGCCCCTTTTTCTCTTATTTCAGTATCTTCAAGAGGATGCATCACTTCTTTGATTCCCACGACCCAGAGGCCAAGTATAGCTGGTCATCCCAAACCCCAACTCTGATGCCTAGCATCCTCCTCCTCCCTCCTCCACTCTACCTGCCTCCCTCCCCCAGCCTGTATGGGGGATGTCCTCCTGGGCTTGACCTCCATGAACTGACCCCTAGGGGCCAAGCAGCCCCCGCTACTCCTTCCTAGCACCACTGCCCTCTCTACGTAGACTAAGACCCCCTAGTGCTGAGAATCAAGCTCCCACTGCCCACATGGCAGCTCAGTGAGGCTGAGACACTTGAATCATCATTCCCTCTGGGCAGGCCAGGAATTCTGTCTGCTGGGGACGCCAGGTGGTAGGATACCCCCGCCTACTATCAGACCGGCCAGGCTCGGTCTAGGTTAAGAATGAGCCGCTGGCCAGGGCTACCATGCCTGTGGGAACTTCCCCTTCCTGTCTCAGAGTCTCGGTTTTCCTCCAGCAGCCGAGGACACTCCAAGGCCCACTTCCCAGATAGCCCAGAGACCGCCAGCTCTGACAACGGTTGCCATGACAACAGGGATTAGGCTATGGAGAGTGATTTATTAGGTCTCTAGGCCCTCCCCAACTTCTCTCTTCCCTCCCAATTCTAACCCAAGCTTCTGGCCATGCCCCTCCAGGCTGCCCCTTTGGGGTGAGTGCCCTTTTAGATGGAGTTGCTGGGAGTGAGGTGGGTGCTGTCTGGTGGGCCTACTGCGGATGGAGCCTAGGGCAAAAGCTGGCATAGAGACGTCGTGGGGAGCAGCTGCAACGGGGTGGTGGGAACTCAGGTCTGGGGAAATGAGCGATCAGAGGAGGGGCAGCGATCCTGTTTACTGCTGCAGGCCCCTCCCGATAGGGGACAGGGGCCTCCGGGTGGTTCCCGCCTCACATCACGTCCTTGTGCTCCTGCTTGGACTCCTTAATGACCTGCGGGACAGAGAAGGTGCACAGTGCCACAGTCAGGAGCTCACACCGACCCCGGGCCCACCACTGCCAGGCTCTGTGACCGTGGGCAAGTCCCCAGACTCCCTGGGTCTTTGCTTTCTATGATGGTAACCAGAACTCCCTCGAGCAGCAGTCGGACGGGGGGGGGGGGGGGGGGGATGAGGTCACACCTGTAAATCATTTAGCACCGTGCCAGGCACATGGGGAGCTGATGGTGTGAAATTAACTAGTGCTGTTGTTGGTGTGATGGGGAGTAGGTTATGCCAAATCCCCTTTTCCCATTCCTCTGGAAGGTTCCTTTAACCAAGCTGGAAATGGAAAGTTGGTAGAGAAAACTGCTAATGTCTTTAATTTTCTTTCTCTCTCCCCCAGGCCTGGCGCTGGGGGTACCTGAGTTAGGGTGAGAAAGGGAGAAAGCCCACGTCAGGACCCATCCCGTGGCCGAGGCACCCAGGCTCCCCTTAGAACTGCCGGCGGAGGGGGTGGGGAATCTAACCACATCCAGCTTCCTTCCCCTCTTCCAGAGCCTCCCTGGAGAGCCCTGTGAGTTATCAAGACCCTTCCATGTGCCAGTTCCGGCTTCATTCCAGAGCCTGGCCTCAAGAATTCCTGGGGCAGCCAGGGCTGACGGGGCCAGAACCTCAGGGCTGCTGTCCTCACCTCTCCATCCCGCATCTCCACAGTCTTCACCACGATGTTTCTCTTGAGATGGCCTTCCGACACGGACTTGGTGTCCAGGCTGGTTTCTGTGGATGTGAGGAGAGGAGGCCTCCTGTGGGCTCTCGGGCACTAGACGTCCTCTGCCACCCTGGCTCCTGTCACCCCCAGAGCATGAGTACAGAGGCCTATCCAACCGGGCAGGGAGGGCCTCGGCTCTTCCACGGGCTGGCGACCCCCCGGTCCCCGCTGTGTTGGGCAAGTCCTGGCTACTCTGTCCACTGCCCTGCTGGCTCTCCTGGCCTGGCTGTGTTTAGTCCCTCTGTGAGCCTTTGCCCGGGACCTGGCTTTCTGACAACACAACCCTGTGTCGAGGTAGGATCACATGGGCTTTGAAACCAGGCAGGCCAGAGCCAGAGTCCCAGCTCAGCCACTAACCAGCCACACGACTGTGGGCAAGTTACTTTACCTCTCCCAGCCCCAGTTTCCTCATCTGTAAAATAGGGACATGGTGCCTACTTCTCTAGGTGGGAGTGAGGAGTCAGTCGACTGAAATCATGTATGTGCAGTGATTGGCTCAGTACAGGTGGGTCCCTTTCCTGTCCCTCCTCCCCTCTCCTACTTCTCTCTGCCACTTCTCTGGGCCCCAGTAGCCCTTTACTGTCTGGGACTTGGCAGTATTACCTCTAGCTGGCACCCCCCTCCCCCATTATCTTTTCTGATGCTGAACTAAGTCCTAGGACATACATATCTACTTCCTAAATGTCTAGCCCAGAAGAAGAAGACTTTTCCCCCCGTAGCTGAGGCCCACATACAAGTAAGAAGTAATTTAGCTTTTCCCCTCAGAGAGAAAAATATAACACTCACTAATATTTAAAATTAAGAGCAGGGAGTGTAAAACTTTATTCACTACAAGAGCAGCGGTCCAGGGGGAAATAATCCTCGGGGCTGAACCAGCATTGAGCTGAGCAACGGAGCCTCGGGGACCGACGACTCAAGCAGAGAGCTTGCCGCTGGGCACAGAGGCCCTAGGGGCCCCCTCAGGTGGGGAAGGAGGGAGGAGGAGGCTGGCATTTGCTCAGAGGCCCCAGAGCATCTCCTCTGAGCACCTGAGGACATATCACCCCGAACACCAGCCGGTCTGCTAGTTTCACCTACATTTACCCTGTGCCAGGCACTGAGGTTGCTGGGAAGATGGCACAGGCTGGCCCTTTAGGGAAACCTGGGAGGAGGGAGCCCAGGAGGATGGGGAACATGGACTTGGTGAGGCTCCCTCCCTGCCGAGTGGGGAAAAGCACCGTGTCTGGGAGGCGGGCAGCTAACCGAGAGCCGGCGGGGCTCCGTTTACAATCTGGTGAGCCTGAATTGGTATAACTTGTACTGTGAGGCTTTTGAGATGTCTTGTGACCTTGTGACCTTCCCCTTCTTTGGTGCTTTTGCCCCCTGTAGTGACAAGCAGTTGAAAAAACAAAAACATAAAACACTCAGATGGGCAGAGGATCTGCAAGTGTTCAGGGATCTGCAGACAGGACAGAGGTTGAGACCCTCACCCAATTCTGTAGGGAATGGGGTGCAGGGATGAAAGGGGGACACAGGGCAGAGCAGGACAGGAGTGGCTGCAAGCCCCACCTAAGATGCCCTGGGATGGTGTGTTCTGGCCAGAAACTCCATGGTGAATCATGAAGGCCCCCAAGGAGCACCCCGGACCCTTTTACCCAGGTTCTCAGCCCCAGGCCAGAGCAGCAGCCCACAGGCCTGGGGGAGGGGCATTAACCCTATACCCTGGCCACTCGGCCTGCTCTACTGACCTCGGATCTGCAGGTTGGAGAAGGTCTGCACAGGAATGGTGATGCTGAAAGACAGCGGAGGGAGAGCAGTGACCAGGCCGCCCAAGGACATCCCAGGCCAGGCCCTGACTCAGGGTCATCATGACAGCCTCAAGGAGCGCATTTCCTAATTTTCCTCAGCAGCCAACATGTTCCATGGAGCTCCAAGAGTCTGCAAGGGGCTCGGATGTTATGGAAGATGGGGACTTGGAGGATGGCAAAGACAGTTCTGAGGAGGCACAAGAGATAGGTCAGGGGAAAAGAAGTCCAATTATTGTTGGGAGGGTGGCGGGATGAGCCTTTTAGTTTAAGTCCTTGCCCTGGGACCTAATCAACTTCGGTTGAGTTGAACGCATTCACTCATTCATCAAACATTTATGGAATGCCTACTGTGTGTTATGGGAGCACTGTGCTGGGCACTGGGTTAGGAGGGGGCTGGACAGGCTCACCGGTTCTCCTCGCCCTCCAGCAGCTTCCTGTAGGTGGCGATCTCCATGTCCAGGGCCAGCTTGATGTTGAGCAGGTCCTGGTACTCCTGCAGGTGCCGGGCCATCTCGTCCTTGAGGGTCTGCCCCTCCTCCTCCAGCCGGGCCAGGGTCTCCTGGTAACTCGCTACCTCCCGCGCGTGACGCTCCTCCTGCTCCCGCATCTGCCTCTCCAGGGACTGGTTCTGAAGGGTGGAAGCCAGCCGGTCCCTCGAGGTACATGGGACCAGCTCGGGAGGCCTTTGAGGCCCCGCCCCGCCTTCGCTCTGGCCCCGCCCCCAGTCCTGGTCCCACCCTTGGCCCCTCTCCTCTAGCATCCCTGGGGGTGGCAGGTCCCTCCTCCCGCTCGCCAGCCTCAGTTCTCTGCCCCGTCCACCCACGCTCACCGTCCCGCGCAAGGACTCCAGGTCGCAGGTCAACACCTGCAGCTGGTGCCGGTAGTCGTTGGCCTCATGCTTGGCCCGGCGGAGCAGCTCCGCGTTGCGGGCAGCGGCGTCTGTCAGGTCCGCAAACTAGATGGGGAAGAAGGCCCTAAGCTGAAGGGCGGGTGGCAGCCGCAGGTGGGGAGCTGTGTGGGCCCTGGCAAGGCACGGTCTCTGGGAAATCAGGGAGGTGGGCAGAACCCCAGGGCTGTGGTCTCGGTCGCCCCAGGACACTGGCCCTGGGTGGGATTATTCCCAGAGGCTGTGACCCATGGGTAGCAGACCAGAAACCACTGCTGCGTCTTCAGCACCTAGCACGATGCCTGGTCGCGGAATGAATGAATGAACGAGCAGAATTGCCACAGAACCCAGAATCTCCTGCACTGACACCTCCATCTACAGGCCTGAACCCTGTTTCCCCCACCTGGACAGTAATGGGTTCTAATAGCCCTCCCTCCCCCAGCTGGCAGCCAAGCCCTCGGGGCTCCATCAGGCCGCAGTCTGCTCAGAACCATCATTGGCTTCTGCCACTCACACTCCTCAGCTCTGTGTCCTGGGCCAGCATCTCCGGGCCCCACCTCTCTGTGCCCTTCTGCCTCCAGGCCTCTACACATGCTCTGTCCTGCACTCAGAATGCCCCTTCGCTCTTCTCTTTATGGCCTGCTGGTCCTGCTTAGGCCAACTACCCTCCCTTCCATGATACCTTCCCTGGTCCCCACATTGTATATAGACTCTGCCCTGCAGTGTTGTCCATAAGACACCATACTTGGGTGCACATCACATCTTCCTGGCCAGACATGTCTCTGTAGCCTGGGCAGTGCCTGGCATGCAGCAAATGCTCAATAATCCAAGACACAGATGGCAGAGGCATCAAGAATGCAGGCTCCCAAGTGAGCTGGCTAGGGTTGGAAACCTAGCTCTACCGCTTTGAAGCTGTGGACTTTGGGCAAATTAGTTAACCTTTCTGGACTTCAGTTTTCTCATCTATCAAAGAACAGTACCTACTTCATAGTAAGATAATCTATGCAAAGCACAAGGCCTGACACACAACAGTGTTGTCAAATAATAATAGTAATAGTAGCAATAAGTTCTTATTAGAAGTAATATTGCCTGTGTGTCTCTGGGCAAGTCACCTCACTTGTCTGGTGAATGTCAGTCACCCAGAGAAGATCCTCTCCCAGCTTCCCTGAGTGTCTTGTATGGAGCCAGGAGGGCTGCCTGGAGGAGGCAGGCTGGCCCATAATCAGGGTTACCTTGGACCGGTACCACTCCTCTGCCTCGTGCATGTTGCTGGATGCCACTGCCTCATACTGCGTGCGGATCTCTCTCAGGGCTGCTGTGAGGTCTGGCTTGGCCACATCCAGCTCCACATGGACCTGCTGCCGGGCCAGCTGCCCCTGGAGCTCCCGCACCTCCTGACCAGGTGAGAGAAGGGATAGCAGGGCTCAGAGCCCAGGCCGCAGTTGGGGTTTTCTGATTGCCCTCTTCTGCCTGCCTGTCGGACATCGATGATGGCTAAGGGAAATGGAACAGCCCTAGTCGGAGGAAGTGCATGGCCCAGGCTAGAGGAGGCAGGGGCGTTTTGGGGCCTCATGGTGTCCTCTCCCCAGGCCTGGACAGGCAGGAGACAGAAAGTGTACCCGTGTCATTATGAAAGAGTGTTTGAGCCCTAACCGGTTTGGCTCAGTGGATAGAGCGTCGGCCTGCGGACTCAAGGGTCCCAGGTTCGATTCCAGTCAAGGGCATGTGCCTTGGTTGCGGGCACATCCCCAGTGGGGAGTGTGCAGGGGGCAGCTGATCGATGTTTCTCTCTCATCGATGTTTCTAACTCTCTGTCCCTCTCCCTTCCTCTCTGTGGAAGATCAATAAAATATATTTTAAAAAAAAATAAAAAAAGAAAGAATGTTTGAGTTCCTGTGCGTGTGTGCCCGTGGGCTCCCAGGTTCCATGGGGTCATGGATGCTGAATCCATGATCTGAGGTCAGAGCTAATTGGGATCCTTTTCGTTATGAATGGTTCTCGGTTAAATGGAGACAGATGGCAGAATGGAGTCAGAGAGACTGTGTGAGTTTAGCAAGTGCTCCAACCTCTTTGGGCTTCAGTGTCCCCTGTGAAAAGGAGATTATACGGAAAGGTCCCCCCCACGGGCTATAGTGGAGAAAAAGAGGCCCCAAAACTTTTGTAATTCTCAGGAAGTGGAGTGTGTATCTGTGTGCATTTTACCAGGGGCTGTTGATGCTCTCTTGTCTGTCCCTATTTCTGTCTTCCTCAATTTCTCTCTTTGTTTTTAATCTCTCTCTCCCCCCACCCCCACCCCTTCCAATCTCTCTGTTGGGCTTTACCTCCTCATGGATCTTCCTCAAGAACTGGATTTCCTCCTCCAGAGACTCAATCTTCCTCTCCAGATCCAGACGGGCCAGGGTGGCTTCATCTGCCTCCTAAAGTAGGGAGGAGGCAAAGGGCCACTCTGACCCCAGACTCTTCCTCCCCATTCCCTGGCCTTGTCTGTGCCCCCACCCCCTTCGGGGGCTGGGAGAGCCGCACATTGCTCAGGAGGGCTGGTGGGGGCCCGTGTTTGGGTGGGCTGCCATCAACCCTTTCCCGCCTCCTGCGCCCCACCCTTCCACCCCCCTGACCTGTCGATAGGCAGCCAGGTTGTTCTCGGCCTCCAGCCTCAGGTTGGTTTCATCCTGGAGCCTGGGGTAGGGGACACATTCCTGGGTCCATGCTCTTCTGAGGACTCTTGGACCCCGGCCCCAATCTCCCTGGAGGTGGCTGCCAGAGAGCACCCCCCAATCCAGGACTAGTGGAGGGGCCAAAGGAGAGCCTTGGCCAGGAAAGTGAACAGCTGAGGGCCTTGGCTGTAACTCATTACTAAGGTGCCTTATCAGGGTTGCTGCACCTGCTCCTGCTCACACAGGCGCTTCCACCATCACACACTCACCGCTACTGGCACACACACACGTCCTCCTGCACTTGAGGGCACACACGCATGCCCAGCTGGCTCAGCAAAGTACCAAGCCCCTGGGGTTCCCCCCGGGTCTTTGGAAATGGGTGTTATTAAGATCTCTGCTTCACAGCTGTGCAAGTTGAAGCCTTGCCTAGGATCATAAGCTGGTGACAGACCAAGTCACCTGTGTTCTGAAGCCAGGCTTTCCTGCTCTTTCCCCGCCTCCCTTTACCCCCAGGCCCAGTCCTTCCCTTCCGTGTTCTCCTCTCTGTGCACCCAGGCTCAGAATAGGTGCACTCCCTGCCCACAATCACAGGGCCCCAGAGTGAATGAAACACACAACTAACTGGGGCCCCTGACTGCTCTAGCACAGACTTAACCAAGGGGCAGGTGCTGAGCGTGCCCTTTTTCCTGGCAGAAGGTCTTGGGGAACGAAATCTCTGAGGCCCTGAGCCTTCTCCCAGTCCCTGCCATCATTTGGGGGAGCAAGGACAGCCCTCCCTTCCCAGAGATGTGGAAACCAGTGAGCAGGGAGGCAGAGCCCCGGCTTGAGTCTCCGCAGGCCTGCGGGCACTTCCTCCTGGGGGCTCAGTCCTCCCTGCTCATGAGGCCCCTCTCCCAGGCGCCCTCCTCACTTCTGCCTCAGGGTGCCCAGGTCCTGCGCCAGATTGTCCCTCTCGACCTCGAGCCGGGCGCAGTTGGCGGTGAGGTGATCGAGCCGCAGGCGCAGCTCGCGCAGCTCAGTCTGGTAGACGTCGGCCAGCTTGGTGGGCTCCTTGGCCCGCAGCTGGTTCAGCTCCGCAGCCAGTGCCTTGTTCTGCTGTTCCAGGAAGCGCACCTTCTCGATGTAACTGGCGAAGCGGTCATTGAGCTCCATCATCTCTGCCCGCTCACTGGCCCGTGTCTCCTTGAAGCCGGTGTTGAGTGCCCCGGCCAAGGAGAAGTCTACCCGGGCCGGGAGTGGGGGTGGCATTCGAGCCAGGGAGAAGCGGGTGCCTGGAACCAAGCGGTGGCTGGGAGTCAGGCCCCCCACCACCATCTCCGAGGAGGAAACATAGGCGCGGCGGGCAGCTGAGGTGACCCGTCTCCTCTCCATCCTGGCCTGGCTCTGCGGGCTCCTAGGATGCGAGGGCTTTATGAAGGAAGGGGCTGTCTTGACACAGGCCAGATTGTCCCTGGCAACACCCCCTGGCATAGCCTGAGGAGGTGGGGCTGGGTTGCAGTCCAGCCATGGGGAGCGTTCTTCTCACCCCACTGAGGTCATTGTGCCCAGAGGCAGGGCCTCCTGGGCATGCCAGCCCCAGCCTGGCCACAGTCAGAGGTACTGGTGGGCACTGCCTGGGGCCAGATGGTAGGTCTGAGGACCAATCACTGGACAAGGAGACCCTTTCTCTAGGAAGGTGGGTTAAGAAAAGGCTGGACCGCCCTAACCGGTTTGGCTCAGTGGGTAGAGCGTCGGCCTGCGGACTCAAGGGTCCCAGGTTCGATTCCGGTCAAGGGCATGTACCTTGGTTGCGGGCACGTACCTTGGTTGCGGGCACGTACCTTGGTTGCGGGCACATCTCCAGTAGGAGGTGTGCAGGAGACAGCTGATTGATGTTTATCTCTTGTCGATGTTTCTAACTCTCTATTCCTCTCCCTTCCTCTCTGTTAAAAAAATCAATAGAATATATTTTTAAAAAGCAGAAATTTAACTTTAAAAAAAGAGAAAAGGCGTTTGTCCAATATGCTTAAGGAACAGTCTGTATTACAGTTTCTTGCCAAGCCAATTCCCAAGAGATTGCTGGAGTCCATTCCTCTGAATACAGGCATCCCGCATTTTTGCTTTCTTCCCACTCCCTGGAGTTCTGGGGCTGTGGACTGAAATTGATCACTGGCCTTTTATCTGGAGCAGTGATCACCAACCCGCAGTCTGCGGACCACAAATGGTGCGTGAGGTCCAAAAGGTTGGTGACCGCTGGTCTGGAGGGTCAATTGAGGCCTCTCTCTAGCAGTGGGGGATGATGAAAGGAACTTGGGGGTCCTGATAGGGCAAGAGGGGGCAGGCACTGCACTCTCTGGCCCTTTCCCTGGCTCAGTCTCACAGGGCTCACCCTTCCGTGCCCAGCTTCCCTGCACCCCCTCCCAGAGCCCAGGCCTTGACAGCTCCACAAAGCAGTTATGAATGAGCTGGCTGTCCCTACTCCCATCTTTGTTCCTGTAATACCCTGTTTCCCTGGCCACCCCTCACCTCACTCTCCCACTGGAGATTTATCTCCTTCGAGTTCCCACACATCAGGTTGAGAAGACGGGGAAAGGCCTCTAGGGGTAGGTGAGTTTGGGAACCCATGAGCCACTGCTTCCAAACTGGGAACCTGGGCCTGGGCCCTGTTGCCCCTTGAGAATTCAAATCCATTTACCCCCTTTACTTTGGTCCCACAGAGTCAGCACCCCACCCAGGACCCCCACCCATCCGTGTCCTTGGACTTCTGGGAAGTGGGCAGCCTTCTTCCCACCCCCACTCTGCCTGCTGCCCACGCCTGGGCCTCTGATCCCTTTTGCTGGGCACTTGCTGAATGGAGCCTTGTTCTCCGCCGCCGGTGAGGGCGCCGAGCAGCGAGGGCAACCCGCAGGGGGCTGTGCTGCTTTTATCCCAGGATGCCAGGCTGTTAGGCAGGGTGCAGCCCAAGCCCCCTGCTCAAAGAGCTTCTCGGAAAGCATCTGACGGGGCTGGAGTGGAGCGGGAAGCAGGCTCTGTGCCCACCCCTGACCATTGTGTCTGTGCCAAGGTGAGTCATTCAGTGGGCATGAGGGGAAGGCCCTGGGGTGGCCAACCCAGCACGGCCAGGTCTCCAGCTCTGCAGACAAGGCCTGGCTGCTCACCCCCTCCCCAGCTCTTAGAGGCCCCGAAGCTGGGACTCACTGGGGGAAACGCAGCATGCAGCCCATAACATGCCCACATGAAAAACATCTTCCCCAGCATCCTCTGTGTGAGTCCCAGCACAGAGAGAGGAGGTAAGAGTCCCTAAGTCTTAGCCACATCTGACCCCAGGGCTTGAGCAGTTTCATGGTGAGGGAATCCCGAAGGGGGTGCTAGTGACTTTTGACCTTGTCGTGGGTGGAGGAGCTGGGGAAAGACAGGGCTCCTCTCTGTAGCTAGGAGCGGCTGCTTTTCCACTTTGCTGGGCCAGGCACAGAGTGCAGCCTCCTCTTCTTGTGCAAGTGAAATCTAGTTGAAATGAGCACTGAGCAGTCAGTCCTAAAGGGAAAAGGCCTAACAAGAGCAGGAAGTGCTCGTCAGTGTAGCCCAGTGAATCCTACCTGTGTGTGGAGAACGGCTACAGTGTTTGGACAGGTTCAAGCCTTGGACTAGTGGTTCTCAACCTTCTGGCCCTTTAAATACAGTTCCTCATGTTGTAACCCAACCATAAAATTATTTTCGTTGCTACTTCATAACTGTCATGTTGCTACTGTTATGAATTGTCACGTAAATATCTGATATGCAGGATGGTCTTAGGCGACCCCTGTGAAAGGGTCGTTCGACCGCCAAAGGGGTCACGACCCACAGGTTGAGAACCGCTGGAAGGCACGGTCCTCTCATGGCCACGTGCAAGTCCCTGCTTGGAGGGACCTATGGTTCGAACCTGTGGTCCCACGTGACTGAGTGATATGGGCTGCAGGAGGTGCAGCAAGTAAGCAAAGCTTGATCAGGTGCATGTCAGTGAGTAGATTCGAAACCCGTGAGAACATTATAAACATCTCAACTGTGCCCTTACTTTGCCTCGTGGAATCTGGCTATAAAATAAAGACTCGGCTTGCAGGCTGTGGTGCTGTCTCCTCATTAGAGAGGGAGCGTCCCCCTAGCCCCAGCTTTATTCTCTTGTCTGTCTTCTCCATCCTTCACCACCCCCTCTCAGGTTTACCCATGGCTGTGCCGGCTCGGCACATATATCATCATTTTAAGAGCTGTATGGTTTTCTTCTATATGCATTAATTTAACCAAGTCCTATTGTTAGACAGCTGTGTTGTCTCTTCCACCCCCCAACCCCCCTCCACTATGATGCACATCTGCCCCAGGCAGAAACAGCTCCCAGCCTCCACTGCTATTTGCATCCTCCTGGACTGGCTCAGGTCCCATCTACATGGTGTTTCCTCTCCTGCTTCACCAACCTGAGGGCCTCAACATCTAAAGCCTCAGGCCAATCGCTAGACCAACTTCTTCACCAGGCAGCAGAAAGCTGTGGGCCATGGGGAGAGGATGCCCGAAAACCCCTCTACAGGGGGCCTTCAGCCAAGCCATGCCCCACTTCAGGTTGAAGTAGATAGAAGATGACCTTCTACCCCTGCACCCCCACCTGTGTCATAAATCTGTCAAGATGCCCACCTGCCTACAGGGCCCACATGTCTCGCAGGACAGGCCAACACAACACCTGGCCTCAACCCACACACGAGGGGCCCAGTGTTTTCCAGATTTGCCAACCTCTAATTCAAGTGGCTGCTTTGCCACTAGACTGCGCCCACCGGCTCCGCTGGAGCCCCTGCCGCCCTCCCAGTACCCGCACAGCATGGGGGGCAGCAAGTATAGGTGGGATGAAGAGAACATGGGTCTCTCTGGCTGACTCCTTGTGCACCACTCAGTGTGTCCGTTCCCTGACCCATCTCTGAGGAAGGGAACCGGGCCCTGGTGGCCACTAGATGGCAGTGCTCAGCTTACCAGGTCTGGAGGCAGAGAAAGCTGGGCTCACCCAGAGGCATCACCCCCTTTTTTTCCTCCCAGGTTACCTCTGACGGCTGCGGCAATGCCCTCTAGGGAAAGAGCAGGACTGTGGCTACTCCATAGCTGTGTGATCTTGACTTAAGGTCCTGTCTCTGAGTCTCCACTCCTACAACTAACATGGGACTAGCCACACTCACTGCCAAGGGAGTTGTGAGGATAAAATCAGGGAAAGCCGGAGGATGCAGCAGGTGCTTGATAAATCACAGCTCCCAGCCAAAACCGGTTTGGCTCAGTGGATAGAGCGTCGGCCTGCAGACTGAAAGGTCCCGGGTTTGATTCTGGTCAAGGGCATGTACCTGGGTTGGGGGCACATCCCCAGTAGGAGATGTGCAGGAGGCAGCTGATCGATTGTTTCTAACTATCTCTCTCCCTTCCTCTCTGTAAAAAAATCAATAAAATATATATTTTAAAAAAATCACAGCTCCCATTTAATAACACCTGGTGATTTATATATCTACATATTAGCACATGTGTGATGGGTGGGCCCAGACTGGAAGCTGGGTCCACCGGGGGGAGGGGCTTCCGCATCCTGTTCACCTCATGTTGGTGGAGCAGGGACAGTGTCCCCACCCCCAACACAGGCAGTTAGTTGGCGGTGTGGACAGGACGCAGGTGGCAGCAGCCAGTGAGGACAGGGTGGGAGTCAGCACTGTTCGCCCCTCACCCAGCACCGTTTGCCCCGGCTTTGGGTTTGCCGGGGGACACGTGTCAGATATCTCCAACCGCCCAGGAGGAACTCAGAGTAGAGGCTGTCTCCCAGTCTTTCTGGCCTCCCTGACTCCTCCATCCTTGCCCTTCCCCAGCCCAACTCCGTCCTGGGGTGGGGCTCTTCTGTACCTCAGCCTGCTTCCTAAGGAGAAGGGCCACGTCTTTCCCCATGGATGGGGGCTTCCGAATGCTAGGACTGGGATCAGACTGGGAGCACCCTAAGGATAGGTCTGCTTCCCCCTGCAGACTAAGGTACCCACAGGACAGGAGCCACCCTTCCCCCTTGGGTGGGAGCTCCCTGATAGAACCCATGGTTCACTGTCAGCTGGATGCCCCTTGAGGGTAGAGGTTATCTCCTTCCAGTTGGAGGATGGCTGCCCCAGGCCAGGGTAGCTTCCTCTGCCATCCGCAGCCTGTGTCCAGCTTCTAACCTCTGCGGGTTAGAAGCACCCAACTCCTGTGGCTGCAGGAGTCCTGGCTGCCCCCCCCCCCCCCAGCAGTCTCCTTCCCTTTCCTCTTCCCTGCCTTCTCTCAGCACGTCGTCATCTGAAGCATCATCAATTCACTCACCTGCACAGACCCAGGGGCCAGGCTGCTTCATTGGGGTTAATAAGCTCGGGCTCTTTCTTTCCCCTTTCTCCCCCTCCCAGTCAGGGCTCA